GTCTACGCTACATTCGGTTCTGTCGACAAAGAGCGTCTACACTACATTCGGGTCTGTCGACAAAGAGCGTCTACGCTACATTCGGGTCTGTCGACAAAGAGCGTCTACGCTACATTCGGGTCTGTCGACAAAGAGCGTCTACGCTACATTCGGGTCTGTCGACAAAGAGCGTCTACGCTACATTCGGTTCTGTCGACAAAGAGCGTCTACACTACATTCAGTTCTGTCGACAAAGAGTCTACGCTACATTCGGTTCTGTCGACAAAGAGTCTACGCTACATTCGGTTCTGTCGACAAAGAGTCTACGCTACATTCGGTTCTGTCGACAAAGAGTCTACGCTACATTCGGTTCTGTCGACAAAGAGTCTACGCTACATTCGGTTCTGTCGACAAAGAGTCTACGCTACATTCGGTTCTGTCGACAAAGAGTCTACGCTACATTCGGTTCTGTCGACAAAGAGTCTACGCTACATTCGGTTCTGTCGACAAAGAGTCTACGCTACATTCGGTTCTGTCGACAAAGAGTCTACGCTACATTCGGTTCTGTCGACAAAGAGTCTACGCTACATTCGGTTCTGTCGACAAAGAGTCTACGCTACATTCGGTTCTGTCGACAAAGAGTCTACGCTACATTCGGTTCTGTCGACAAAGAGTCTACGCTACATTCGGTTCTGTCGACAAAGAGTCTACGCTACATTCGGTTCTGTCGACAAAGAGTCTACGCTACATTCGGTTCTGTCGACAAAGAGTCTACGCTACATTCGGTTCTGTCGACAAAGAGTCTACGCTACATTCGGTTCTGTCGACAAAGAGTCTACGCTACATTCGGTTCTGTCGACAAAGAGTCTACGCTACATTCGGTTCTGTCGACAAAGAGTCTACGCTACATTCGGTTCTGTCGACAAAGAGTCTACGCTACATTCGGTTCTGTCGACAAAGAGTCTACGCTACATTCGGTTCTGTCGACAAAGAGTCTACGCTACATTCGGTTCTGTCGACAAAGAGTCTACGCTACATTCGGTTCTGTCGACAAAGAGTCTACGCTACATTCGGTTCTGTCGACAAAGAGTCTACGCTACATTCGGTTCTGTCGACAAAGAGTCTACGCTACATTCGGTTCTGTCGACAAAGAGTCTACGCTACATTCGGTTCTGTCGACAAAGCAAGCTGCTTTGTCGAGATGGTAGTGTAGACGCAAAGGACAGTTTAGATGCAATAACACCTTCTGTCGACAGAAGGCGTTATGCCTCGTAAAATGAGGTTTACTAGCGTCGACAAAACTGCTGAGTTCTGTTGCCGTTATGACGTTATGTCGACAGAACTCAGCGGTAGTGTAGACCCAGGTATACTTTTGTCGACAAAACTCTGTAGTCTAGACACACCCCTACTGGGCAACTCCCAGCCAGTAGTAGCCCAGCATGTTTCTCAGGCCACCTCCTGCTCTAAGCTCAGATAGAGCAGGGACTGCCTGCTGCAGGACAGAGTGCCCTAGGGAGCCAGGGCAGGCGCCCAAGGAACACGTCTCCCCACAAGCAGGGTCATTTAACGGTACCCACGGGAGGCCTGTGCCTGCTCCACATCCCGCCTCCCTTGCTGCATTTCCTAATGCGGAGCGCCCAGAGCGCAGCCTGTGACTTCTCCTGCACGCTCTTTCGCTAGCAGAGGTGCCAGGCCGTGCTCGGCCCAGGGCTACGCTCCCACCAGGGCCCCTCTGCTCTCCAGAACCTACCTGCATGCCAGGGGGCGGTGGGTCTCGTCTCACCAGCATGCTCAGCGCCTGTGTGCTGGACAGCAGGGCGTTCACAGCCTCCTGGTGGGTAGCATGGCGCAGGTCAATGGTGTTAACCTCCAGGATCCTGTCCCCCACTCGCAGGCCACTGCGGGATGCCAGCCCATGTGGAATGACCTGCAGACAGGCACTGAAATTACAGCCGGAAACGGGCTGTGACTGGAGCAGACATCCGTCCCCTAACAGAGCGGTGGATGTCGCCACAGGCGCCCTGAGCCGGCACCAGCCAGCTGTGAGATAAGGCTCAGAACTGCCCTAGGGCACTGAAATTACAGCCGGAAACGGGCTGTGACTGGAGCAGACATCCGTCCCCTAACAGAGCGGTGGATGTCGCCACAGGCGCCCTGAGCCGGCACCAGCCAGCTGTGAGATAAGGCTCAGAACTGCCCTAGGAAACCACAAGGGTCTCCTCCCACGGCCCCTGAGCTGCAAGCACCCCGCCACCCCCAGACTCCTCCCACGGCCCCTGAGCTGCCAGCGGC